CTTATATATTTATTATTCCTAATTTAATCTAATTTAATTTTCGAAAAAAAAATCGATGTGTATTGCTTATGGTATATTCTGAATACCGGGAGAGGTACCGGGGAGAATTTTTATTTAAATACTTGACATATTAAAGTGCATATGTGTATCTAATTTATCTCTTATTTGGTTACAAACAATGAAAAAAACTTGATTATATTTTGTCTCAAAATATCGTCCTGGATTTTGAAAATTTTGGCAATTATCGAAGAAACCCGCTGATGACAATAACAAACCAGTCGAAATTGTAGGACAGGATGGTTTAAAAATATAAAGATTGATTGTATAATTTCTTATAAAATTTCTCCTTGAGTGAATCCTCTACTGGTTAAATATTAATACACATTTTCATAATTTGTTTTGTATCTGATGACCAGCGCACCGTAAAACTGCCACAACTTTACCTGTCTCGCCCGTTACTTATGAATTAATTTTCCCACTAACAATAAGTATGATGATTGTAATTACTTTTTGAGGGAGGGTCTATTAAAAGGAAAAACGAAACACTTTGAGACATACTGTACCTCTGACTATAATGTACTGTGTTTGTAATATCCGAGAACTTTGGACAGCAATATGCTTCATATTATCTAATCTCGGGTAAATATCTTTCCATAGAACTAATAAATCTGGAAAATATTGGGTTTATTGCGCGTCTTTTACCTGTACGATCGCATATAAATAAAATTCATGTCAATCGAATAATCCATCGTTGTTTTATTGCAACTTAAAGTTCTATACATCGAAAAAAAACACCCCTTACAATAACACGATTAATATTTTTGTAAGAAATTTCCTTAATATACAAAATTTATGCAATAGTGCTTTTATATTTTCCGTAAGTTTAAGTTTTTGTCTATTTGTACTTCGAGAAAATTAGTAAAACGAACTCCATAATAACAATAATGATAACAGTGAAAATTGTTTACCACTAATTAAAAGAAAATGAGGTTCTTTGCTGGCGCAGTCTAGCTTGCTCCGCTCTACGGATCCAGCACGTACAAAGTTTGTCGAATTTAAAATAAATATCTTTAAAATGTAGAATTAAAATTTTCAACGCTTAAGCTTAATAAATCAACTGGCAAAGCATTATAATAAAAAGCTGTACTATTTGAAAACGAACGCCGAAACATGGCCGCTGAATGGGGTGGAATCGAAAGTTAATTCCTTATTTGAACGTAATCAATTTTATGACTAAATGAAGTGAGTGAATTGACGAAACCTTTGTTTTTAATAATTTTTTATAAATAATTTTTTTACTCTTTGTATTCTATATTTGTGTAATGTTATAAAATGATACTAAGGTTTTACAGAATTTTTTTTTTAGTTTAAAATTTAAAATTTGTCGGTTGCTTTAAAGCATTTTTCTAGACGAAAATGTTTTTTGGTATATAATTTTTCGACGTTTAAACCTAACATTACTATTGATTACTATCCCCAAGTTTTTATGCTCATCAACAAAACTAATTTTAGGATCGCCTAAAATATGTTCTCTCAAGATTAAGTTTCAAGTTGGGTTTTTTTTTTGAAAGATCACTTCCTACTTGTAACTCTTCATCAATAAATGTAATAGCCTTCGAGAAATCTTCCGTATCACAAGAATAGTAAATTTGAGTATCATCAGCGAATGCATGCATATCCAGCGTATAAACCAGAAAGAGTAATCAAAACCATAATATTTTAATAAGTTAATCTAGATACCAGAAGTTAATTATTTATCGCGCTTGACTAACCTAACGGATTAAAGATAGTGTTCATCTTCTTAAAAAACACGCAAAATGTCGTCAGTCACATTCATAATGGCAACAGATGTCGGATATCTCCGTTTTGTATCTGTATTTCTAAGTGCAGGAAGGTAGCTTACACGACAGCACTTACTTCGTTCCCGTAGGGGATGCGGATTGGTATTTGTTAAGTAAGCAATCACCCGAAATAATAGCTGGCCAACAATTTTCTTTTTCATCCCATTGTTTTAGCAATTGTCTAATGACTGACGTCGGTAGACCGACAGAAGCTTTCTATAAAGTTTCGTCCGGCACCCGTATTGGCCAGGGAGACATGGACTTGGTTTTTGAAATATTGTTCGAGTGGAGATTTTATCTCTATAAATACAAATCCGTATATTATAAGGCCCATCGCTAATAAAGCGGCTCCATAGTATAACATAGTATAACTGGAACTAACCAAAATTTCTACTAAAATCTTAAGACACTAAACTCAGTACCTTGTTATTTGCGAGTCTGTCCCCTCAAAATCACAACCTTCCATTGAATCGAGTTTTGAGGAAGCTCTCCTAGAAGTGAAAGAACGAAAGTCTACTAAGACAATTTGACCTTCTCTAGAGTTGTCGAACCTCAGAATGCGAGAACTGCAGAGAAGAGGAACGCTTAGGATTTTGATATAGTGAAAAGATGCATGTTACCACTCATGTGCATGAGTTTACAAAAAGAACAGAAACCTTCCAAACTGCATGTTTAATGCTGCCAAGCAAGAATTGCACAGGAAAATGGAAAAATGGCGACGACAGAATGAAGGAGCTAAAGAGCCAAAGAGAAAGTGCCATATAAATATATGCTATGAGTATGCGAAGGTAAAATTTATATAATTCTTACATTTTATTTTTAGTACCTATTTTTTTAATATCAGGTCTTCTAAAAACGTCACAGGGCATGGAGCTGGCATTGGGAGGACAATGGAGTTATCTGGCATTCCAAGGTCAACCTTGCACTAAAAAGGAAGGAACGATGTGACAAATACATAATTTGAAGGGAAGTTTATGCGATGTATGAGTGTAATCAAATTCCATTACTTGAATCATTGCAAGAATAATTAAAAGAAATGGGCCGATTTACTGGCAGTCGTGAAGCATACGCAAAATCGGATTTGGATTTAAAAATGTTGACAAGCATAGTTGCATCAAAGAAACCCAAAAATATTTAGACTTGGTTTTTCTACACGCATGACACTATAAGCAAAGAGTGGCAAAATTCTTCATCGCACCTGCTTCTAGAGGAAAAAGAATATCCATTTTACACTGTAGCTTGAGGGTAGGTTCGGTGCCAAACGCTTTACTGCATTAAAGAGTGCTCATTAGACTCCCATCTGGAAGAAATGAACTTTTTGCAATTTGAAGAAAAAAATATCTTCCAAATATCCCTCCAGGCAGCAAAATTCATGATTATGCTAGTTATCACAACACTTTAGCTAAAAAAGTACTAACGATTAGCAGCATAAACGTTGAAGTTTTAAAAACCAAATTCTACGAGAAAATTTATTCCGCAGTCTAGGTTATATACCCCTGTTACCACCTTATCACTGTGATCTGAATATTTTAGAAATAACATGGGCTGAATTAAAAAACAAAGTTATATTAAACATTAGAATTCAAAAAATGTCAGCTCAAGTAGTTGATATAATTAAAACTCAGTTTGAATTATTACTAGAGAGCAGTTTGAGAGAATGTGTTAGAGTACTTGAAATGAAAAATAAAATATAAAAAAAATATAAAAAAACAAATTCATTCTATTCTGACGATCAATTTTATTTATTAATTATATAGTTACAATTATACAGTAAGCCCTACAGAATGTAAATAATGTATTTTATGTTTCCGTTTCCTTGCTGCTACCCTGGAACGGTTTGATTTGTTGGCCCAAACATGCCTACGGTCACATAAAAAACGTTAAGCTGTTGACATGGTGATTTTAATGTTCCAATCCACGAATGTTAGGAGATTTATTAACATTTTCTTAATGTCAATGTTACGTTTTATTGGTTACATTTGATCGGAACATAAGAACTTCAAAATTAATTTTAATTTTAAGGATAACCAGTGCAGCACAATTTTTTTTTAAATATATTTACTTTAAATCTACCATAGGCTACACCGGTAAAAATAAAAAAAAAGTTTTAAGGCTATAGATGCTTTTTAATGACTGGTGAGTAAAAATATCCCGAATAATTAGAAAAAAACATTACAAAGTTATTTTTTCCTAAAAATTGAACATTTTGTAGCTCAAAAGATAAGATTTTTACGAGATGTTCTGATATTAACTTTTCTTCGCCTAAAGTACTTAAGTAATGGGGGCCAATTAATAAACATACATGTATAATTTGAAAAAAATCAAATTCAACGACTTCAAAGGACACCATAACCAAAAACGAATTGATTTGGCTTTGTTTGCGGAATTTTATAAATTGAAAGAAGATCTTGGATCACAGGATGTTGACAGCAAAACACCAAACATGTGTCGCTGGGTTATCTCAGTTGATAATCTTTGTCGCAGTAGGTGGCAATATAAAAATTTATATTCGAAATCAATAGAAAGATTAAACTCAAGATAATGCTTAATTCGTGGAAAAGAAGTTGTCAAAAATCACGAGTCTCCATTAAGAAGTATACACCATATGTGAAAAAACCTTTTATTTATTTTTTGTAAAATAGCTCATATCAAATACACTAATAGGCAAAATTCAAAAGTGAAAGAGTATGTAGCGTGGGTTCCATGAGAAAAAAAATCTACGTTTTATTTAATTATTTATTATTTTTAATTTAATCTAATTAAATTTTTGAAAATAACGCTGCCAAAATTGTGTAGTATATTGTTTACGCTATGTGCCGGATACCGGGAGGTGATTTTTATTGAAAAACATGACTTATAAAGATAGCACATGTGGATCTAAATAAAAACTTGAGTATACCTTGTCTCGAAGTATATCGTTTTGCCTTTTGACTACAATTATCGAAATAACCGTCTGATGGCAAGTTGAACGTACGGTAAAACGGGTTAGTTATTAGTAGTTGGGTTTGCCCACTAACAATAGGGGTGTAAGTTCTAATTACTTTTGATACACACTGTACCTGTACCTGTACCTCTGAATATATCGTAGTTTGTTTGTAATGTTAGAGCATAATATGCGCCATATTATCTAATCTTGGGTAAGTGTCCTTAAATAGAATTCATAAATTTGGAAAGTATTGGATATACCGGTTTATTTCTCATCTTTTACCTTTTCGATTGCAATTGAAGTTGTAAACTTGTGACCATGTCGAAGTCGTTGAATGTCGCTTTGTGGTTTGTGTTTATTTGGCAAATCGCCACCAGCCGTAAGTACCTACGTAATATTACAATTTCACCTTTGTTGTCTTGAAATACGTTTCTAGAATTTTGTAATGAAAATGAAGTAAGGGACTTTTGCGGCACGGCCTGCGAGGAAACTTGCTGGTTTAGAGCTGAGAACTGTATAGCGGTTTGTGTCGACGGTTGTTTCTGCAAGGACGGCTACGTGAGACTCAGCTTCGACAATAACACGTGCGTGGCTCGATCAGATTGTCCGCCGAAACCACCGAGACGTAAGGAATGACCTTAAAATGATCTATATCCGATAAACAATTGCAACGAAAAATTATTAATAACAATAAGACGATTACTGTATCAAATGAACAGAAATTCAATTCAACATTTCAGACTTCTACATAAGCCCAACTGCAACAGATTCTGTTCTACCTGTGGCTTGTAAAACAATAAAATATATAAATACTAAAAAAATAACATTAATAATAATATAAACATCTAAACACATAAAATAACACTAATAATAAATTCTCCATTATATAATAAGCAGAGATTAGGGCTGAGAAATATATATCAATTAAATTGAATGTATTTGTATACATAAAATATCTAAAATAACTCAAAATGATTGATAAAACGAAGCAATATAGAAAAATAATAAAGAAAAACAAAAGAAGCACATATTGAGCTAGTGCTACTAATCGTAAATGTGATTCAAAATTTAATACAGAGTTTTGTAATTGTTTATTAGTGGCAAATTTATTTTGTTTTTCTATCTAGACTAATTTGGGAAAATCATCGCAGATAACTTTGATCGATTCACCACCTGCGTTAAATATCTGCTCAAAATTATGTTCAGCAAAGTAACAATCGAACGATAAATTCATTCAAATTCAATTAAATTATGGAATCATCAGTTAAGTGAAGCAAACACAATGTATAAATTTAGATCAATCCTTAGTACTAGGTACCTGATTGATAAATTGTAAAACATTGTAAATCTTCTAAATACTTTAGTCGAAAAAATCCTTATGAAGACTTGCACATTCAGTTAATCAATAATTCAACTTAAATCGGCATTGTCATTCAGCCGAAGCCGAAGATTAAACCAAAGCAGTCCAAAAGGAAAATAAACCAAGTGAGATTCATAGGTAACTCATTTGATCCATCCTATTTAAATGATTGATAAATTGACATAAACCACTATAAATCCTCTCAATACTTTCGTCGAATAAATATAAACATCAGTTTTAGTTTTAATTTTTTAGGGTTAAACAGAGGCAAATCGATACGCAAACAATCAATTTATTTTTTTTTCAATCTTAGGTAAATGCTGGATAAATTGACGTAAACCACTGATATATCACTTCAAATCCTTTGAAATCTATAATAAACCTGCAATACTTTGGAGTTGTGCTCCATTTGTTAGAGGATATTTATGACTCTGAAACAATTAAACCAAAGTTGTGTACGTTGTGGTGGTAGGGCTCTTTGTATTTTATTCCAATTGAAACTAGTTTAGAAACACCATAACACGAAAATTTTCTGGCACCTAAGGTAGTATTATTTCTAGAACAAAATTGAATTCAGTAGAATCCTCAATAAATAGTAGTAGATCATCTCGTCGTCGTCCTTCAGAAAATAAACTGAGCTAAAGTTGTGGACTTTTTGGCGGCAGCTCTTTTATAATTGAATTTGACCGGTTAGTCGCCTTGCTACAGTTTGGACAAGACTATGGCATGTACCGAGATGGAATTTGTTTTAGAATGCAACGAAAACCAGTCAGAACAGTGTCTGAACCCTTATTGTGTATATACCTGCGCAGGAAAGCCCGATGACTGCATCGAGATGCCTTCAACCATTTGTACGACTGGTTGTTATTGTAGCGAAGGGTTCGTTAGACATAACGCAACTGGACCCTGCGTCGCCATTTCCGAATGCGACAATTAAATTACAACGGGCATCGAGCTTGGCATTTCAATAAAGTCTAAACATGAATTTGTTTTCGTTTTTGTTCATTGGTGCTTTACCTTTTTTGGCCCTAAACTTGCAACATGTTAACTTTTTAAGTCAGCGAGTCAAATATTAAATAATAATAATAATAATAATCAAATCAAATTTATGAAATAATAAACACATCATAGACACCTATAAAGGAGGTAGATCTGTGTGTGTTAAAAAAAATAATAATACATTCTTTAATATCCTCGGTCAACGCTACACAAGGATTAGACAAAAATTGATATCCCCAGCGGGTGGGGATAAAGGGTATTATTTAATAAAAATAGAATCAGTTTTTGTAAGAATTTTTGATGTATTTGAATAAAATAGTAGACTATATAGGCAGATGAAATATTTTTCTAAAGACATGATAAAATCTTTTTTATTATTTGTTATATGTGTTTTGCATTATTTTAAGATTTTTAGGGTTGTTTTCGTATACCCCACCCTATAACAATATTTGGTATCTAAGCAGAGGTTCAATGAGGGCTTTATATACAATTAATATTTTTGTAAGAAATTTCCTTAATATAAAATGTATGCAATTGTGCTTTTATATTTTCCGTAAGTTTAAGTTTTTGTCTATTTGTACGTCGAGAAAATTAGTAAAACAAACTCGATAATAACAATAATGATAAATGTGAAACTAATTAAAAGAAAATTAGGTGTTCTTTGCTGGCGCAGTCTAGCTTACTCCACTCTACTGATCCAGCACGCCCACAGTTTGTCGAATATAAAATAAATATCTTTTAAATTTATAATTAAAATTTTCAACGCTTAAGTCTAATAAATCAACTGGCAAAGCATTATAATAAAAAGCTGTACTATTTGAAACATGGCGGCTTAATGGGGTGGAATCGAAAGTTTATTCCTTATTTGAACATAATGAACTTTATGACCAAATACCAATCTTTCTCTGAGTGAATTGACAAAGTCTTTTTTTTTTGAAAGTTTTCTTTAGTTTTGAAATTTAAAATGTGTCGGTTGCGTTAAAGCATTTTTCTAGACGAAAATGTTTTTTTGTATATAATTTTTAGATGTTTAAACCTAACATTACTATTGATTACTATTTCCAAGTTTTTTCTTATCAACTAAAAAAATTTTAATATGCCTAAAATGTGGCCTTTCAGTATTAAGTTTCAAGTTGTGTTTTTTTTTTGAAAGATCACTTACTACTTGTAACTCTTCATTAATAAATGTAATAGCCTTCGAGAAAAATCTTCCGTATCACAAGAATAGTAAATTTGAATACCGTCAGCGAATGATTGCATTTTAGATTATCGCAGTAAATTAAGTGTATCCAGCGTATAGAGTAATCAAAACCATGATATTTTAATAATTTAATCTAGATACCAGAAGTGAATTATTTATCGCATCAAATGCGCTTGACTAATCTAACAGATTAAAGATAGTGTTCATCTTCTTATAAAAATCACGCAAAATATCGTCAGTCACATTCATAATAGCAACAGGTGTCCCAAAATTCTTTCGAAAACGACATTAAGTTTATGGTATGGCTAAATTATATCTTTAAAATATTTTAGGTCAATCCGGTAATATACTGATAACCGAAGATTGTGGAACGATGAAGAATTTCATTTGTTCATTGATTCATTGATCGCTTAATGATATCTTGCCTTCGTTTTAATATTATTTAAAATGTGTACTTGAGACACTGTTGACAGATTAAATAAAAAAATCCTTCTTTCGCTGCAGTCCCTTAAAAATTAAGAAAAAAAAATTATTTAATTGGAGTAGGTTAAATAATTTTACTAGAGCAAATGTTGAGGCATTATTTGAAGAGTTATTATCTCAATAAATCATATTAATATAATTCTGTCTTCTTTCTGATTTCCGACAAAACAAAATTACTTAAGCTTCTATAATTGTTCCAATCATTTATGTTCTTTTAAACTTGTGCAACGCACTATCTCTAGATATGTAAAAAAGGTGCATGTCAACAATGTTAAAATGAAAGCATTAAATAATTTCCTTTACATTTCTGAATCGAATCATTACTGATGTGTTTACGGAAAGAATGCAACAGATAATATATTTACTTAGCCTTCTTTCATTAAGTCAAATTATCAAAAAAGATGAGTTTCACTTTTTTGAAAGTAATCGATGCTTGTTTCTTTCTAAATCATCTAATCATATCTAATTATCTAAATCTAACAGTCATTAGATGGTAAGTGTCAAACACCTTTTGGATAATACTAGTTTGCACCATTAAGCTTTAGATGTCTACGTGACTTTAAAAGTATGGAAATTTTATATACAAATCAATATACAATCAAATCAAGTTTAGAGAAAAACACAAATAAATCTATCGCAAATAAGGCTAACAGAAGGTGGAAAACATATCTCCGTTTTGTATCTGTATTTCTAAGTGCAGGAGGGTAGCTTACACGACAGCATTTAGTTCGTTTCTGTGATTACCGTAGGGGATGCGGATTGGTGTTTGTTAAGTAAGCAATTACCCGTAATAACAGCCCGTCAACAATTTTCTTTTTCATCCCATTGTTTTAGAAATTGTTTCCGGAAGTTTTCCTTTATCATCTCTCTAATCACTGACCTCGTTAGACCGACATATGTATTCTATAAAGTTTAGTCCGGCACCCCTATTGGCCAGGGAGGCATGGACTGCACAGGCAAATTAGGTATAAAAATATGGAGAAAACAGAAGAAAACTTTCAGAAGATCTCTCTGCTATTTTTTACGCTACTACTTTTTTGAAACATTATTCGAGTCGAGTTTTTTTCTCTATAAATACAAATCCGTATATTATAAGGCATTTGCCCATCGCCAATAAAGCGGCTCCATAGTATAACATAAAATAACTGCACTGGAAAATGAAGTTGACACGCTCAAAATTTCTCTTAAAATTTTAAGACACTAAACTCAGTACCTTGTTGTTTGCGAGTCTGTCCCCTCAAAATCGCAACCATCGATTGGATCGAGTTTTAAGGAAGTTCTACTAGAAGTGAAAGAAGACAAGACAAGACAATTTGACCTTCTCTAGAGTTGTCGAACATCAGAATGCGAGAACTGCAGAGAAGAGGAACGCTTAGGATTTTGGTATTGTGAAAAGAGGCATGTTTACCACTGTTTGACCAAAAGGTGGCAACTCATGTTCGATGATCCCAGACATGTGCATCAGTTTACAAAAAGAACAGAAAACTTCCACACTGCATGTTTAAGGCTGCCAAGTGAGAACTGCACAGGAAAATGGAAAAATCGCGACGACAGAATGAAGTAGAAAAAGAGGCAAATAGGAAGTGTCATTTAAATATGTGCTAAAAGGAAACTGTTTTACGAGTATGTGAAGCCAAAATTCATATAATTCTCACATTTTATCTTTAGTACCTATTTTTTTAATATCAGGTCTTCTAAAAACGTCAAAGGGAATGGACGCTGGCATTGGAAGGACAATGGAGTTAACTGGCATTCCAAGGTTAACCTTCCACTAGAAAGGAAGGAACGATGTGACAAGTACATAATGAAACTGTTTAGGAATGTTGATCCAGAGTGGATTTGAAGGGAAGTGTATGCGATATATGAGTGTAGTCAAATTCCATTACTTGAATCATTGAAAGAAAAATTAAAAGAAATGGCCCGATTTACTGGCAATCGTGAAGCATACGCAAAATCGGATTTGGATTTAAAAATATTGACAAGCATAGTTACATAAAAGAAATCCAAAAATATTTAGACTTAGTTCGACACGCATGACACTATAAGCAAAGGGTGGCAAAGAATATCCATTTTACACTGTAGCTCGATGGAAGGTTCGGTGATAAACGCTTTACTACATTAAAGAGTGCTCATTTCACTACCATCTGGAACAAGTGAACTTTTTGAACTTTTAAGAAAAAAAATCTATTCTTCCAAATATCCCTCCAGGCATCGAAATAGTTCATGGTTATGCTAGTTATCAGAACGAGAGAAACGAGTTTTTTAGTCAGTATGACCATTATTTTCAAGATGCTTATAAAAAAAAGTTTTAAAAACCAAATTCTACGAGAAAATTTATTCCCTAGGCTAGGTTATATACTCCTGTTACCACCTCATCACTGTGATCTGAATATTTTAGAAATAACATGGGCTGAATTAAAAAACAAAGTTAGATTACACAATAGAATTGAAAGAATGTCAGCTTATGTAGTTGATATAATTACAACTCATTTTGAATTATTAACGGAAAGCAGTTTGAAAGAATGTGTTAGTTGAGTACTTCAAATGAAATATAAGGAAAATAATGATAAAAAAACAGATTCATTCTATTTTGCCGATCAATTTTATTGATTAATCATATAATTACAATTATACAGTACACAATACAGAATGTAATTAATGCATTTTATGTTTCAGTTTCCTTGCTACTATCGTGGAACGGCTTGATTTGTTGGCCCAAACATGCCGGTCACATAAAAAACGTTGAGCTGTTGACTTGGTGATTTTAATGTTCCAATGCACGAATGTTAGGAGATTTTTTAACATTTTCTTAATGTCAATGTTACGGTTTTATTGGTAACATTGACCTGCATAGTACAAAATTGCATCAAATTTGATCGGAACATGAGAACTTCAAAATTAATTTTAATTTTTACAATAACCAGTGCAGCACAATTTTAGTTTTCAAAAATATTCACTTTAAATCTACGATATTAAGGAGTACACAATATATGTGAAAAAACCTTTTATTTATTTTTTGTAAAATAGCGCATATCAAATAAACTAATAGGCGGAATTCAAAAGTGAAAGAGTATGCAGCGGGGGTTCCATGAGTTCCAAGACTATGTTTTATGTAAATATATATTATTTTTAATTTAATCTAAATTAACTTATGAAAAAAATGTTGCCAAAATTGCGTAGTATATTGTTTATGCGATGTGCTGGATACAGGGAGGTGAAAGAAAAACTTGAGTATACCTTGTCTCGAAGTATGTCGTTTTGCCTTTTGACTACAATTATCGAAATAACCGTCTGATGGCAAT